TTGATTTCTTTTTTTAAGAAACGGTGTAAGTCAAGGATTGTCCCCATGCCGGCCCCAGTGAACTGAAACCTGAGAGCAGTTGTGCAGCCGGTGCATGGTCAGGCAGTGTTCATTCTGTCATACGAGGGCTGCTATGAGTCAGAGCCAACTTGATGGCACCTAACAGCAACAAATGCCCAGCATTAGGTTCTGACACCTCCACCCAGTGCTGTGGTTTGAGAAGCAATACAGATAATTTTAAACATTTGTTTGAAAAGGAAGAATAAATTTTCACAAAAGTATAAAAGGATGGAGAAATACATGTATACCTAGACACATACTGTATGGTCTCAATTATGTTCTTGATGTTTGGTTTTTAAATTAGAAAAGCTTGGAAGGGAATATGAAAAATATGTAATGGTTACCACTAGATGAACTTTAGGTCACATTTGTTACGATTTTCTGTTTCTGTGCATTTTCCTTATACTTGAAAGTGAATCCTAGCTTGAGACCCCTAAGAAGACAGTAAACATAGAGAGAGATGGTTTTCTTGGGTGAAGCAAACAGTTGTGTTGCTGACTGCTAGTCAGAAGGTTGGCAGTCCAAACCTACCCAGAGTCTCCTGGGAAGACCGGCCTGCTGATCTGCACCCGAAGGTCACAGCCTTGAAGTCCTCCTGGGGCAGTTCTGCTCTGCACACGGCATGTGGTCACCGTGCATCAGAATCGATGGCAACTAACAATAGAACAGGCATTTTGTAAGCTGATTTATTTTTGAACAGAGGAGTGTCATTTAGTAGGACTAAGGCTTTGGGCTGTTTGGCCTAAAGAGACTGAATGAACATCATTAACCTGTGACTTGTCTTACAGGTGCCATGGACATAGCTCTGGGGTCCAGTGCCACGGGCGTCTTTACCAATTCGTCTTGGCTATGGAACAAGCTCTTTGAGGTAGGGGTCATAGAGAGATAGAAACTATGGGGATGATATAGCTTCTAATTCTGGTGTTGCAGTGCTTAAAATGCACCACTGCTAACTGAAAGGTTGACAGTTCAAACCCACCAGCCGCCCCACAAGAGAAAAGACCTGGTGATTTGCTCCCATAATAATCACAACCTAGGGTACCCTCTGTCCATCCTGTAAGGTCACTGATTAGCAGTGGACTACCCGGAGTGCTGGTATGGGTCTGTGGACTGCAAAGTCGGTTTGAAGCACCAGGTCAGTGGATCAAGTTCACCGGCTGCTCCTTGGAAACCCTATACAGTGTCGCTGTGGGTTGGAACCAACCTGACAACACTTAACAACAACAACAGCAACCCAGCTGCCTTAGAATAATGCATTTCTTCAACCCCTGGGTAAGACTAGATGAATGGAACATAAATCACAGAGGAAACACATCTCTGTGCTTTGTGTTTTCTATAAATGTCCCTAAATGTCATCCACTCCGCCAGTGGCAGTGGCTGAAAACTAATATAACCAATTTTTAGGGGTTACAGGGCCTGCTGTCATTGAGTCAAGGAGACAAGCCGTGTAGCTGAGGGAGCATAGTGTGCCTTCCTGTGCGCCCTCCCATAGCTTGGCTCCAGAACCCCTCCCTCAGCCTCTCTGACCGGAGTCCTTCCCTACTCTCTGCTGCTCTGAGTCCATCTCCTTCACGGCCTCTGTCCATGGCTGTCCCGAGGCTGGTGATGCTCATTGTCTTATTCTTCAAGGTGCCCAGGGCCAGCTCCTGTTTCCCTGGTTCTCTCTGCACACCGCGCCTCTTCTGAGCTCCAGGCTCTGTGTACTCCCAGCTTTTTGCTCCATGGGGTGCCACATAGTACTCATGAAACAAGTCGCTTGCTAGTTACTGGAAGCCTGCTCTGGCTGCACCCATGAGGAACAAACAGTGTTGACCTGCGTTGGGGCTGAGCTAAGGTGGTAAACTTGATCACACATAACCGCTTCCCCTCCTATCCATTATCCTAGGCTCTCGGACAGTCCCTCCGTCCTCTTCCAGGACGGTTAAGGCTCCATTTTCTCACTCCCAACACACCCAGCATCCCTCTGTCTCAGTGCCCATGACACTGTTTGAGGGTTTGTTGGTTTTTAAGCTGTCTTCAAAAATCAAACAGATGTGTGTATGTTGTTGTTGTTGCGTGGAGTCAGTTCCAACTCATAGCAACCCTATATAGGGTTTCCAGGGAGTGGCTGGTGAGTTTAAACCACCAACCTTGTAGTTCAAACTAACACCGGGAAATAGCTGAGGAGCTACAGGCTGACTTGGGGCTTGGTATAAAGTAGTGTTTATGAGCTGATCGAGACCTCCGCATCTCACAGTGACTGCTTCTCTTGCTGCTTCTTGACGTTCCACGTTTGAAATCTGGGAAAGCCTTGCCTCTGCCTTCTTACCTTGGTGCATTGAAACAGCCCGTTGATGGTCTATTTCTCCAGTTGTCCTTTAGATCCTTTGATGGGTCAGATGTTTGTATTATTTTATATTCCCAATGCCTGGGAATGGGGGTGGCAGAGGTCGCTCAGCAGATGCTTAGGAAACGATGAATGAATGGATAGGTGAACTATGAGGTGGGTGAAGGATCTGGTCATCAGTGGTGTGGTTCCTGGCCTGTGTCTCACCAGCACAGTCGGGCCTGGGGCAACACAAAACTGCCGCTTACTCATTTCCACTGAGACACCACTGGACCACGCAGTAGTCTACATACTTCTGTTTGGTTTCCCATGGGCAGATCTGTGAATGAAATCAGAGTCCGAAATACTTCTGTTGGGCTTGTGAAGTGTATCATTTAATATCAACAAGATGGTTTTAGCAAATGCCTTACCAGTTTGTATAATTGCTTTACAAGATTCCTGGGGTCTTCTGTAATCTGTAAGATTTTTTCTTAATCAACTGAAATAATTCTTGAGCCTCTTTCAAGAGTTTCATGTCTTAAGAGTCACACGTCCAAATACCTTTTGCCTTTGGCAAGGCGTCGAGTATGTCTGTCCCCTGAAGTTACCCAGAACCTGTTTCGTCCTGTCTTACAACTCTGGTACCTGTTTTATTCTTCAGGCCAGCATCGAGACAGGTGACCGGGTCTGGAGGATGCCTCTCTATGAACATTATACCAGACAAGTTGTAGATTGCCAGCTTGCTGATGTCAATAACATAGGGAAATACAGGTATGTAAAAGGAAGCCAAATGTCCGTTTCCTCAGCCCTCCTTGGTGGCCTGAATGACTTGTTGTCCACTATGTTTCCCCTGACAAAAGGCTTAACTCTCTTGATTTCCCTTGCAAGCTCTACTCTCATCTCCCATCTCTGTCGCTCTTCTCCACCTGGCTGTCAACATTCTGCAGTTAGACAAATCTGAGGTTCTCTTGAAACTAAGGATTAGGGAACGTCACAGAAAGTTCATGAGTTAATTCATTACTGTGGGAAAAGTGGAACCTCAAATTCCACCTCCCCTTTTGAAAGCTGTATCTGAAAAGAAATGTTGAAGAAGTGATTCCAGGCTAGCTTCTTCACTTCATCTTCTGAGCTGGCCTTTTGCGTAGTAGTCACAGAACTTCCCTCACCAAAACACCATGATCTGAAGGAAGTTCTCAATTCCTGTTCCCTGGGGATTAGTAATGACCTCTTCCTTCCATTTCAGGTCTGGGGGGGCCTGTACAGCTGCAGCCTTCCTGAAGGAATTTGTGACTCACCCTAAGTGGGCTCACTTAGACATCGCAGGTGTGATGACCAACAAGGACGAGATCCCGTACCTAAGAAAAGGCATGACTGGGAGGCCCACGCGGACGCTAATCGAGTTCTTACTTCGGTTCAGTCAAGAGGAGGCTACAGCTTAGCACAGGCACAGTATAGCCCCTTCATTCTGCCTGAAACCGGCACTGCAGCTTCTGGGAATTTTTGAATGAATGGCTGGGAATCCTGTCAATGAAGAAACAAAGGGTGGTGTCTCAAACTGTAGAACAAAATGAAATTTGTATGCCTGATTTTATTTTTTCTTTTCATTTGATGCAGAGATTTATAAAGATAAACTAATACCTTGCTTGGCAAGCCTTTTAGAATTACCCTATAAATGAGGTTCGGTTGAAAAGCAAAATTTTATTTTTGTGGATTTGTCTGGAAGTGTCATAAACAATAAATCCAACTTCTTACAATCTCTGGCGTGGCCCTCATGTCTGATTGTCAGCTCAGTGGCAGCTGTGACCGACTTGACTCTGTGCTGTCTGTGAACTGAATTATTAAGCGGGCACAGCGCTCGCGTCACTCCGTGATTAAACTTACCAGCTCTGGTAATGGTGACAGGGCACCTAGTCTGCAAAATGAATCACTCTCAAAGTACCAGTATTGCCAAGCAGCAAGGACACTCTGCCAGGCGTTGTTCAGCGTTTCCACTTATGAGGTAGACGATAGCACAAAGCTGAGCACCAAACCATTCCTCCACAGCGCTCTCTACACCAGCTGGGTTCCATAATGCATTGCACTGGGCACGCACAACTCAAGGCACCATACTCACAATTAAGAGGTCTATTAGGGAAGTTGACGGGTTACAATGCAAGGTCAGAAAATGCTCAGGGCACAGTTCTTGCCATCAGAATAGCCTCTCCTCAGTTGTGTCCACAAACAGTCATCTCTCTGACCTTTGGACCCTTGGCCTGGCCTCTACCCTCTACCGTGCTCCAGCAATGTTGCAGAGCTCTTTTCAGGCTGCTGATCACATGCACAAAACACGCCATTCCACCAGAAACCAGCCCCAAGGCACTTCGCTGTAGCTCTGGATCAGCAAACCTGGCTCCCCACATTAAGACCCTGGAGGTACCACTCCACAAGTGAGCATTAGGCTCAAGGTTACTCAGCCTCACCCACTCCTCTGTCTGATGCTCTAGTTCTTGGTTCTCTGGCTGCGGCTCCTCTGCCACTTCTCTGGTGTCCCAGCTTTCTGCCCTGGGTCCAGGAAGTTCACTACATAGGGATTTGGGGCCCAGAGGACACATTCCACTCCTGGCTCTTTTTTGATGTTAGTGAGATCCCCATTCCCACTTCTGAGATGGATCATTTTAAACCTATGCTAGACTTCCACATTTTTACAATTATAATTTATTGTCAACAACAGTGATTACTTTTTTTTTAAGTTTATTTTGAGTTGGGTGAAAGTTTACAGGGCAAATCATCGGTTTTACATTCAACAAATCATATACTTTGTTTCATTACAATGATTATAATCTACCCCCCACCCCCCCGTGTACCATCAGTTAGCAGTATTTCTCTATTCATTTTACCTCTTTTTTTTTTAAACACTCAGGCACATATAATAATTTACACCACCAAAGGGCACATTCTGCAAGTCTGCCTCCTGGCCACCAGCTCTCAGTCCCTCTCTTTCCATGAATCTAGAGTCCTCAGCTGCTCTCTCTCCATGTCCCCATCTCTGCCTCCATCACTGTTGCTGCTTCTCTGGATAAGATCTTGCATTCTTGTGTTCTCCCTCGATGGTCCTAGGATCCTCTGTTTCTGGACTGTTAAGACTAACCACTCCCCTGCTTTTGTTACAAAACTTCTACCTTTACAATTGTGACAGTTGCAATTAGTCATGATAACAATTACTCACTATTGAATCATAAGAATCGTATCCCCATCTCCTTTCACCAGACCCATCTAGACAAGATGAAAACTATTCAGTGGGGACTCTGCCTTGCCCCACACACTCTGAAACTAAACTCCCTCTTGAAAACTTGTAAGCAAGTCACTTTGTGCCTTTCTCACGCCTTCAATCTAGGTGTTGTTGTTGTTAAGTGCTGTGGAGTCGGTTCTGACTCATAGCGACCCTGCACAGGGTTTCCGAGGCTGTAAATCTTTACGGGAGCAGAAAGCCTCATCTTTCTCCCGCGGAACCACTAGTAGTTTCGAACTGTCAATCTAGGTAGCCAATGTAAGTTGCCCATCCTTATCTAGCCTGTATACAGAGGATTGATGCTTGATGTGAAGACTCTTTCCCTTTCTGTTGATATTTTGAGCTACTACATCCATAAGTATAGGTCAAGTTCATCAAATTGTAGCAATTTACCCTTGTTTCCATTATCAAAATTTTTTTTATCTTCCTCTAGTCGAGTTCTGATTATTAATCATCGAGGTTAGGTCTATCTAGCTATGGGTATGATCTGCAAGTTTGGGTGCTCTTGTGCCTCTCCCCTCGACAGTGATGACTTACCCCACCTCTTACACAGAACCGTCAGGGTCAAGTTCGGTAAGAATTTACCAGGACCTGCGGTGACACTGTAAGATAAGCACTGGGCTGCTAACTACAAGGTTGGCAGTTTCAAACTATCCGCCACTTCTTGGAAACCTTATACAGGGTCACTATGAGTTGGAACTAACTCAACAGAACTTAACTAGAAGAGACATGAAATTATTCACTGAATCACAGGCAGACACTTTTATTATCCCATATCACAGATGAGAAAAATGAGAGATTTAGTAGCACGCCCCATCACAGCACTTCAAAGTCCTGGAGCAGAGACCGTGAACCCGGAACCTGCAATCTACTTACACACTGCAGTGCTTGGCTTCAGTGATTTGAGAGAATGTGGAGTGGACTTGAAATCTTAAATAAGGAACCAGGCATGAGAGGTATTGTAGGTGGGAACACTAGGTGCTTACCTCCTGAGACCATATCCCATCAGCGAGACTCCACTGGTGCAGATTTAGAGCAAAGCTTCCTGGTCCTCTTTGTTTCACTTTTGTATCCGGTGGGTCCATTTGAAACTGTGAAAGCATTTGATGGGAAAAGCCATTTATTGCTGTTACCTTTAACGTTTTAGAAGTTGGACATGATATTCTGTCTCTAAGTTGGTTTTATGGAGAGGGAGCATAATGGGCGTGCATGTTCATAGTATTTATGAGAGAAAATCGGCAGGAGGAATGAGAACCCAGATTCCCCTGGGTATCTCAGAGATTGAACAGTATCCCACTCCACCCCCAAATATGTGTTGGTATACTAACTCTTAACACCTTAGGGTGTAATCCCATTAGGAATGTTGTTAAGGGCCGTCAAGTCAGTTCCACTCTGTATAGAGTTATAGAGTTTCTAAGATGTGGCTAGTGAGCGTGAACCACCGACCTTGCAGTTCAAACCGGCTTTACAGTCCAGCGCATTAACCCACAATGCCACACCAGGACTCCAAACATTGTTATTATGTGATATGGAGTCGGTTCCAACTCAGTGATCCTATCTAGGGATTCTGTGGAGCAGCTGGTAAGTTTGAAATGCCAACTTTTGTGGTTGGCAGCCCAATGTTTAAATTGCTGGCCCACCGGTGTTCATGTTTACGAATGTGTGTATATCCTAAACATATTTAATCAGTGTTGGGAGCTGCTGAGCCGAAGATCACTCCCCACCTCAGGGGTCCAGCAAAAGTTGGCCTGAGGGTGTCTGCCTGGGCAAAAGTCCACAGCACAAGGAGGAAGTGACCTTTAGCTCAGTGCACTGTAGAGCTAGTCAGCAGGAAAGCATGCAAACACTTCTGCTTGCCTACCTATACCGCAGACCTCTTTTTCTAGCAATTGTTTTCTCCTAGTTGTTCTTGGATAATTGCTGTGTGTACCTGGAACCAGGACTGCCCTAGAGAAACTTTCTCTTTCCTGCTTTTGAGCACTATATAATAAACTAGCTGCCAAGAGTTGTGGCTGCTTGATCCTCTATTAGAGTTCGACAGCCCACCTGGCCTAACTTTATTCTTTTTTTTTAATGTTTTATTGTGAATTATGTGCTAGTTTACATGGGAGAACATTAGTTTTACATTCATCCTATCATATATCGTTTCATTGCCATGGTTACAATCCCATCCATGCATCATCAACCAACCACAGGGTATACCCTGCAAGCCTGCCCCCCCACCGGTCATCAGCACACAACCCCTCTCCCTCTCTGGGTCTAGAGTCCCCAGCCGCTCCATCTCTCCACGTCATCGTCTCTGCCTCCATCTCTGGTGTCACTGCTTCTCTGGGTAGGGTCCCGCTCTCTGCTCTTCTCCCCCAACTTTATTCTTAATCTTGTCTCTGTGGGTTTTTTTTTAATCTTCCATCACCCCTACTCGAGAGCTTCACAGCTGCACAGGCCACAGCATATGTGGAACAAAGAAACCAGCAGTACCACAGAAACACAGCAAAATGGCAGCCATCAATCAATACCTACTGATAATTGCACTGAATGTAAATGGATTAAATGCACCAGTCAAGAGGCAGAGAAAGCTGTCTACAAGAGACACATCAAAAAGATGGAGACAGCCTAAATGTCCATCAACAGAAAATATTTAAACAACCGTTGGTACAAACACACAATGGAATACTATGAATTTTGAAGAATAACAACGAATCTATAAAACACCTTGCAGCATGGATGAACCTGGAGGACATTATGCTGATTAGAATTTGTCAATCACAAAAGGACAAACATTGTATGAAACCAGTGTTGTAAAAAGTTTTAAGTTTTCTTGATTAAAAAAATAACAAAACAACCCACAATGGAAGCAAGAAATAACATCATAATAAATGAAGAAAAGACTGAAATTGTCAGACTTCATTTTCCTTAGATCCACAACAACACTCTTGTAAGCAGCAGTCAAGGAATCAATTGACAGATTGCATTTGTCAAATTTGCTACAAAAGACCTCTTAAAAAAGTGTTAAAGAGCAAAGATACCCATTTGAGGACTAAGATGCACCTACCCAAGCCATGATGGTTTCAATCACCTCATATCCATGTGGAAGTTGGACAATGAATAAGGAAGACCCTGGAAGAATCAGTGTATTTGAAAATGATATTGGAGAATATTAAAAGTACCACGGACTGCCTAAAGAACAAACAAATCTGTTTTGGAAGAACTCCATCCAGAATGCTCCTTAGAAGTGAGGATGGTGAGAGACTTCATCTCTCATCCTTAGGACATGTTATCAGGAGGGATCAGTCCCCGGAGAAGGACATCATGCTTAGTAAAGTGGAGGATCAGCGAAAAAGAGGAAGATCCCCAGCGAGATGGACTGGCACAGTGGCAGCAGCAATGTGCTCCAGCGTAACAAATGTGAGGGTGGTACAGAACTGGGCCATGCATTGTTCTGTTGTGTACAGGGTTGCTATGAGTTGAAATGGATTTGACAGTATCTAGTAACAACATTAACAGCATCCAGCTCAGGACCCAAACCACTGTTGTAGGTTGATATTGATTGAATGGTTTAACAAATGGATGAGAGAGAACGTGATGAGAATGAACTCTTAGAATACTCAGAAGTTAAAGGGAGCTTTAGGATTACAGCAGAATCAGTGCAGGAGAAAGCCGTGAGGTCCATGGCTGTAAATGTTCACAGAAGCAGCCAGCCACATCTCTCATCTCTCTCCCACCAAGTGGCTGGTGAATTCAAATCGCTGATCTTTTGGTTAGCAACCTAGTGCTTAACCACTGCTCCCCTAGGACTTCTTCCAAAGGGCAGACCATAACAAAGCCATTAACCTCATTAACTTTGCCTGCTTTCATTTGAATTTCTGGAGGTCTTGGGACTGCAGGTGGGTGGAAGGGTGAATCTTCGGGTGAAGTTTCTTTTTGAATATTCTCTCAGTAGTATTAGATACCTGTACTTCGTCACTATGGAGACCTGTATTCTTTAAGCAAAAGTTATTCAAGTTTCTGTGAATTTTCCATTCTCTAAAAGCAAATTTCTCTTTTCTGAGGAAACGTTTCTCCAATTTGCAATTTATTTCATCTGAACAATCAAATATTGTGTTATTCTCTTTAATGAATACATTATTATATTTTTAACAGTCACTTTTATTATAGTATCTCCACGTGAGAATTTAGGGAGAACACTACCAGGTTTATTCTGGCTACATCCTCAATGGCTGGATTAATGATTGTTGTTTTCGAATCTTTCACACAGGACCCTGTCTGAGGCTGTAAATCCTTGCGGAAGCAGAAAGCGGATCCTTCTTCCGTGGAGCGGCTGCTCAAACGGCCGAATTTGTGATTCATAGTACAGTGCTAGTCTTGAAGAGTGACCACGCCCCCTGGATTAGTGACTGTTGTTAGTACGTGTAAACTCTCGATAAATGTGTAATAAATGGGTGACACCTTTTACCTAGGGGTAAACCGAGCCCAGAGATATTAAGTCACTTAGCCAAAGTCACACAACGTTGTTTAGGACACAGTTGGGATGGCATGATCCTCGCGGAGGGCTCGCTTCACCATAGCTATTCATTCTCCTCTCCACTCGACTTTGTCAATTCCACTCAAATCTTACCATTTTTAAGTAAAATCATAGAAGCCAAGCATCCGCTGGCTGGGATGCAAAATCAAGACACCCAGGATCCCAGGCGTCTGATAGATGACTTCATCGCCCCATCCCTTCACGTGACACCATCTGACGTCACCCGCTCCGCTGCGCGTACTCTCACGCATGCTCAGTGGGCTTCTTCCCGCCATTGCAAGATGGCGGCTCCACTAGGTGGTATGTTTGCTGGGCAGCCACCGGGGCCCCCGCCACCCCCACAAGGACTCCCCGGCCAGGCCTCGCTGTTTCAAGCCGCGCCAGGGGCTCCCAGGTCCTCCAGTAATACGTTGGTGGACGAGCTGGAGTCCTCTTTCGAGGTAAGATAGGGTTTAGGTGTGTCCCCTGCTCCTAACGTGAGCTGAGCACGCGCAATCGGGCTTGAGGCTTGCCTCCCTGGTCCCGCCCCCAGCGGTACCTGGACCATCGGTTCCAGCGTTCCTGTGGGCGCAAGGAGAGCTGTCATCAGTTGTAAAACGCGGCCAGCCCCAGAGCCTTTCTGAGGCTGTACAGCGTTACTGAAGCAGATAGCCGCCTCCCTGACACGCGGGGCGGCCGGTGGGTGTGGATTCGAACTGCCCACCTCCTGGCTGCAGCCCAGCCACCAGAGCGTCTTCTCAACTCATCGTACTCTAGGAACGGGGGAAATGGACTTAAAACTTGCTGTGAGGGGTTCGGACCCAGAGGGTAGACAGAAAGGACCAGAACTCTTGAGTTGTGTCCACTGAAGTTGAGCGCGTAGAGGGGAGGTGGGCCACACTGCAGTGGTCAGTGTAGTGCTTGTCGGCTACCATGGACTCTAAAGTGGAAATAAAGCAACCGGGCTTTATCTTGCCAGCATTTTAATCCCCGTTACATGAGTGGTATCATGGATATGGTGTGACATGGATTTAGTTCGCAAATATGTGATGAAACACTGTGTGGTCAAAATGATTTTACTGATAGGATGTACACTCAAAAGTTTGGAGAGAGGTGATTTAAAGGGCAGAAATCCGTTCTGTCTGGGAGGAAAACATAGCTGTTGGGGAGGTTCCAAGCCAGAAAGAGATGTCAGCTTTAGGGCCCCACCCGTCTGTCAAGCTTGCTGGGTTAAACATTGGGCTGCTAACCTCAAGATTGCCAGTTCAAACCCACCAGCCACTCCATGGGAGAAAGGTGAGGTTGTCTGCTTCTGTAAAGATTTATGGTCAGGGAAGCCTCAAGAACAGTTCTACCTGGTCCTATAGAGTGGCTGGGAGTTGGACTTAGTGTCTGTGGTTTGGGATTTTGTTTTGTTTTTAAATCTGAGTTTGTTGTACTCTGGCAACTTGCTGGTTACTGAGTTGCAGGAAGTTGTGGCAAGGGTATTTCAAATACTAGTAGTGTCACCCATAGTATGTAGATTTAGAGGCGCTTCCAGAGTGAGACATTCGGAAGAAAGGCCTGATAATCTGCTCCTAAAAACTAGCCAGTGAAAACCCTGTGTTTGCTATAGTGCTGGATGGTGAGCCCCCTAGGTTTGAAGGCACTCAAAATATGTTAATAGCTGCATTCGCAGGTTCGAGCTTACCAGCAGCTATGAAGCTGGAAAACCAGGCAATGTTTCCATCTGTTGTATGTAGGGACCAAGAGTTGGAGCCGATTCTGTGATAATTAACACAACGGTGTCTAGCAGACCCTGCGTCCTTCTTGAGGTGAGGGAGCTCTCAGTCCTGAACCCTTGCTGAAAGACTGTCCTGATGGATAGACATCTTGACCACCTCCAACCACGTCACTCAGCTGCTTAAAAACTTTGAGCGACCACCTTGCGCTCTAAGGATGAAACCGAAAGGCTGACTGGTCTTGCAAAGCTCTGCATGTTCATGCTTCTGACACTGGAGACCTTTTCTGCCGGCGCCTTGTGTTTTTGCTTTGGGCTTCCAGCTTTTTTTCCCCCCCTCATAGGATAAGCACTGAGTATCAAGGTCGGCTTGAACTGCAAGTTCAGCAGTTCAAGATCACCATTCGCTCCTCAGAAACCCTGTATTGGGTCACTATCAGTCAGAACCAACTTGATGACATTTAACAACAACCATGGAGCAACTGGTGGGTTTGAACCACTGACTAACCTTTGGCAGTGAGCGCTCAGCCAGTGCATCGTGTAGCTGAGAGTGTTTGTCAGTGTGGCCAGCCCTGTCCTGGGTGCTGAGAACCTGGAGAAAAGACCCTTCCTTCAGGGAGTTCCTCCCAGTGTCCTGGGGGAGATGGTCTGTTGTAGTGTCGGTGCTCTGATGGAAGCAGCCCCAGGATGCTGTGGGGTACACTGGGGCATGGCTGTTGAAGCAGACTCCCGAAGGGCCTGAGACCCAGGGCTATTAGGACTGAGGCAGATAAAACAGCTTGGTCTGTCCCTCTGTGACCCTGTCCTGGAGTTAATAATGGGCTACAGGAATGACTACGATGTCAATTAACCATGTGTAAAATCACCAGCTAGGCTCCAAGGCAGCGTGTGAGCAGAGAAGGGCAGTTGGGATGGCCTTGTGTTTATACCTGGCCTGTCATGTAAATATCCGGGGAGATGGTGGCACAGGCTCTGGTGTGGTATGAGGTAATGGGGAGAAGGATGGACGGTAGGGGAGAAACCAGACATCAGGGGCAGCAGCTCCCACTGGACAGTTTACCAGTGTTCTCACTAGTTTAATGTCACAGTGTGAAAACCCAGGGGTAGGGAGCTTTTTTAGTGAGTTCATTTGGGAGGAAGTATCTGTGGCTCTGAGGTGAGGCATTTGGTGTGTGAGTGATGATTTTATGCCTGATGTGTTTCGGTCCAACAGGCCTGCTTTGCTTCTCTGGTGAGTCAGGACTATGTCAACGGCACCGATCAGGAGGAAATTCGAACTGGTAAGCATCCATCTATGTAGACAATGTTCCTGTTTTCAGCAAGAGTCCAATGTTACACTTAATGCATTTCATTCCTGCTTGTAGCAGAGACATTTTCCTGGATCACCTCTCTGAGATGATGGTTCTCTAGTCTTTGTTTTGTTTCTTAATTGACATCACTTGGGAATCAAAAAAAGAATGAGTTTTTGTTTTGCCCCAAGTATTCATTTTTCATACTGGTTTTAAGATAAAGAAGAGCAGTAGTGTGTATTCCAGTGCCATCGAGTCAGGACCGATTCATAGTGACCCACCCTACAGGAAGCTTTACAGGAGCAGACAGCCTCTGCTTTCTTCTCAGGAGTGGCTGGTGGCATTTCATCTGCCAACCTTGTAATTAGCAGTCCAGTGCTTACCCTACAGCGCCACCAGAACTGGAGTACGCACTTGTTAAGTGTGATGTTAATGTATGCTGTTGTTAAGTGCGGTCAAGTTGCTTCGGTCCATAGCGACCCTCAGAGTTTCTGAGGAGCTGTTGGTGAGTTTGACCTTGCAGTTCAAACTGACCTTAAGGTCGAGTGCTTATCCTTTGGCACCACACCAGGACTCCATAATAGTGTGTTATTGTTGTTAAGTGCCATCGAGTCAGTTCCGACCCATAGCGACCATGTATAAGGTTTCCAAGGAGAAGCCGGTGAACTTGAACCTCCAGCCTTGCTATTCAAATGACTTTGCAGTTCAGTGCATTAACCCACAGCGCCACACCAGTTGTTGTTGTTAGGTGCCATCAAGTTGGTACCAACCCATAGCAACCCAATGCATAGCAGAACGAAACACTGCCCTATCTAGGCCAGCCTCACTACTATTCCCACACTTGAGTCCATCAGTGCTGCCACTTGGCCAGTCCATCTCACTGGGGGTCTTCCTCTTTTGCTCTGACCCTCCACCTTACCAAACATGATATCCTACTCCAGCGACTGGTCCCTCCTGACAATATGCCCAAAGTAGGAGAGACGAAGTTTGGCCATCCTGGCCTCCAAGGAGCACTCTGGCTGCACTTCTTCCAACACAGATCTTTTGGCAGCCTAAGGTATTTTCAGTATTCTCCTTCAACACCATAATTCAAATGCATCAGTTCTTCTATGGTCTTCCTTATTCACTGTCCAGCTTTCCCATACATATGAGGTTGTTGAAAACACCATGGCTTAAGTCAGGCGCACCTTAGTCTTCAAGCTGACATCTTTGCTCTCCAACACTTTTCTTGTGCAGCAAATTTGCCTAATGCAATACAACGTTTGATTTCTTGACTGCTGCTTCCAGGAGTGTTGATAGTTGATTCAAGAAGAACGAAGTCCTTGACAACTTCAGTCTTTTCTCTGTTGATAACAATGTTGTTTATTGGTCCAGTGGTGAGGGTTTTTGTTTTCTTGACATTGAGATGTAATCCATACTGAAGGCTGTGCTCTTTGATCTTCATCAGTAAATGTTTTAAGTCCTCTTCAATTTCAGCAAGCAAGATTGTGTCATCTGCGTATCATAGGTTGTTAATGAGTCTTCCTCCAATCCTGATGCCACTATTTTCTTCATATAATTCAGCTTCTTGGATTATTTGCTCAGCATATACAGGTTGAATAAATTTGGTGAAAGAATACAACCTGGTTGCACACCTTTTTAAATTTTAAACCATTTATTGTTCCCATGTTCTGCTAATGAACATAGTTGTGCATATTAGATATGTTTGTGTTCTGGCTTGTATTACTTGTGGATATATACCAAGTAGGGGAATTGTTGGATCATCAGTATTTGTTTCCAACTTTCTGAGGAAGAACCATACTGATTTCCATAGCGGTTGAACCATTTGATAGTCCTACCAGCAATGTAGAGGGTCCCAGTCTTTCCACACCCTTGCCAGCATTTGTCGTTGTGTGTTTTCTGAACTTGAACTTCACTGTTAATGCTGGGTGAGATGATATCTCATTGTTTTGATTTGCATCTTGTGGTGCAGTCGGTTCATGAATTGGACTGCAAGGTCTCTTTGAACTGCAAAGTTGGCAGTTCGAGCTCACCAGCTGCTCTTTGAAACCTTACACAGGGCCACTATGAGTCAGTACTGATTCAACAGCACTTAACATCAAGAACACTGGCTAACGATTCTGAACATTTGTTTATATGTTTGTTGACTGCCTGAAAGTTTTCCTTAGTGAAAGGATCCTGTTTTATCCATTCTGCTCTCTGTCTCATGACTGGTACGTTTATTTACATTCAGTTCATTTATTAATAGGTATGAATTGATTGCTGTCATTTTGCTGTGAGTTTTTTGTGTGATGCTATTGGTTTCTTTGTTCCACATAATTTTCTGTGCTTAGTTCATTTTGTTTGTGGACTCTCTTCGTTTTATTTCTGATGTGTTCATATTTACTAAATTTTTCTTACTTTCCTCTTTTTAAATTTTTGATGTGCAGGTGTATTAATTTTCTTTGAGGTTATCATATAGTTTAGTAATTTTCCCTATTTTAAACAGTCTGTTTTATCTTGAAATGTACTTGACTCCCTTTGCATTTGGAAGTTCTGTGTCTACACTATTCTCTCTTTTTGTTTTGTAGTTGACTTCATTGTAAATTGATATCTTTGGTTCCCTATTTTCACTCTTACAGATTTGCTTTACTTTAAATACTTCTATATGGACTCCTCGTATGGTGCTGTATGGTCAGCACTGGATTACAAACCACACGGTTAGCTGTTTAGAAACCCTACAAAGGCTTTTCTATGACTCAACGGCACTTTTAACAACAACAGTGTCTGGACTGCGTTTTGGGTGGTGTTGGCATGTATGGTAACCTCAGGTTCTTGGCTGCTGCTGTTGCATCTTAGTCCAAAGAACACTCTTTAGCATTTTTTGTAAAGTTAGGCCATTACAAATGTCCTTATTTTACCGTCGTAATTGAGGGACATCTTTGTTGGGTATATGATTCTCAGTTGACAGGTTTTTTTTCTTTCAGAGTTTTGTATATGTTATTCCATTGCCTCTTGTTTGCTTGGTTTCTATGAGAAATCAGAGCTTAGTTTTACTGGTTCTACATTGTATGCAAATTTTGTTTTTTCCTGAGCGGCTCTCAGGATTGTTTTATGGTCTGTGGTTTTGGCAGTTTCATTATGATATGCCTGGGTGATTTTCTTTTGGGACCTCTCCTTTTGGGGATTCATTTAGTTCTATGTATGCTTATATGCTTGCCTTTCATGATGTTAGAGAAGATTTCTTGCAACAACTCTTCACCAGTTTTCTCTGTACCTTCTGTTGTCTCTTCCTGTTCTGGAATTTCAATCAACCAACCTCAAGTTGTTCTTCTTCATAGTGTCCCACATAACTGTGAGGCATTCATCAGATATTTTCATTCTTTTTTTGATTGTTGTTCTATCATATTAGTATTATTGAGACATTTATCTTCAGGTGTACTAATTTTCAAACTTCATTGCTTCAGATCTACTCTTTTGCTCTTTCAATGAATTGTCCATTTCTGAACTTGTAGTGTTAGATTTCTAATTGTAGGTTTCATATTGTTTCAAAATTTGCATTTATTTTGTCTGCTTACTCTAGTAATGTTTTCCTGAATTCTTCTAATGTGTTTTCTGTGTTCTCTTTGTTCTGCTTAATCTTTCTGTCAGCCCTTTGACTGTACCTAAAGTGCAGTTGTTGATCTTAGAGAAGAGAAAACTCTGGAGGGGCTCCTGAAAGCCTGTAAGCTCAGGAGATGGGTTTGGGAGGGATGTAACAGCAGAGTTCGGGCTCTAGATGGAATTCTTACTGGCCTAGGTGCTGTCTATCTGTGTTCAGCAACCAGTCTGGAAGTAGTTTGTGTAGGCCCTTGATGAAGTTCGTTTTGGTGTCTACTAGGACCACAGGGCAGCTGCGGGCAGGGTGACTGATTCAGTGCTGGGCTGGTGGCTCTGCAGGTTCTTTAGGTTGGGAGCTGAGCCCACCTGGATCCAGGAACAAAAGCAGCAGGAGTTGTACCCGCCTATCACCTGTGTGAATCTGCTCTGCCAGGCCACCTTCTGTTGCTAAAGCTGCTCACAGGATAGTTGTTCCCCATCCAGCCAGCGGTTCACCAGTCGGTCTCCCTTTCTTGCTGTCCCTACTTGGCTTCTCTTCCCAGCAGGTGTTCAGTCCGTGTCTTTAACCTTTCCTCTGAAAATCAGGGTTCCAGAATTTTCATGTGTGTATTTCATTTGGTGTCTTGTATCTTTGTTTAGAGGGTCCGTGTAGTATATCTGCCTAGTCCACCATCTTGCTTGAAGTCCTCAAATCTCCTCTTTTTTCAGTTTGATTCATTGTATATTTTCCTCCCACTCTGTGCAGGACCTAAAATCTTATTGTTCTACTGTGCTTCCTCCTCATGCTCCCCTGCCTGTCATGCTGCCCTCAGAGTCAACTGGGGCTGCTGGTTTCTTGAAACCCGATTTTAAACGTCCCATTTTACCTGGGTATCATGATGCTTAGTCTTTTCTTCAGAAGAACTCGTGGCATTCATACTGCATTAAGGCCTCTTGTACATGTGATGCAAGACTAGTTACCCGGTGGAGGGGCCAGGATTCAGATCCCAGGGTACACCTCTCAGAAAGAAGGATGCTGTCTCACAGACTGACACGACATTTATGAGGGAGATACATGTGTCTAGTGTGGCTCTGCAGGGTAAGCACTGGACTGCTAACCACAGGTTGGCGTTTCACACCCACCAACCACTCCTTGGAAACCCTCTTCAGGCTCACTATGAGCTGGAAAGAACTTGATGGCACTTACCAACACCAGCAGCTGGTAATGTGTGGACTTGTTTTTTTCCTAAGGTGTTGATCAGTGCATTCAGAAGTTTCTGGACATCGCAAGACAGGCAGAATGTTTTTTCTTACAAAAAAGATTACAGTTATCTGTCCAGAAACCAGAGCAAGTTATCAAAGAGGTACGTAATTAATTTTGTCCCCTCAACTTTTCGGGTGCACACACAATGTTAAGATCCCATTTTCCGCTAACTACAAAGGGTTTTCTAGGTTGGGTGTCAAAGTGTTGCAGATGGTCAGTGTCCATGACAACCTGGAGTAGGAGTGAGGATGGAGGCTGGAGAGCAGAGGACGTCGGAAGAGAAACTCTGCTCTTGTTTCAGTCTGGGGGCTTTCAGGAAAGAGTTTTCTTAAAATTTTGGCTCAAAAAAGCCACCGATGGAGATGAGACACTCCCTTTGGGCTTAGAGCCACCCCCACCCACCCCACCACCCACCCCCGGATTACTTCACATCGTGCCTTCCACACAGAAATCACAGGAAACCTGTGGTGGGCCACATGCTAGACAGTCCATTCCTCTTGTATCGCCATTGTTGCCAGTCAAGGGTATTTACAGGCTTTCACGGTATCTAGTGGGTGGATCAGGGAACCCACCTGCCTGCCGTGTGGGGAAAGGAAGATACATGCTGCCGAGAGGCCAGCAGGGTCCCTGTGGGAAATGCCAGGGGAAGTGAGTCTTTTTATGGCTGGTTTAGAGGAATTGCTTCCGCCAACTAACCAGTTAATCAAAAAGGTTCTTTTCATTCATGATCCCAACCGTTGAGAAACATGACTGGTAAGAAGATGATGTTCTTGTAAAAAGGCTTCACAAAGCTTGTGCAATGCTGGAATGAAAGAGACTGGAATTTCTCTACGAACTTTTTGAAGCCCCCTGGAATAATCCCATGATGCCTGCTCATTTCCTGATTGATGTAATTTCGCAGCAGTACAAGTGTGTTGGAGGCCTGGTGGTAATGAAGAATTCCATTGCTGGTCTAATGAGAATGCTGTGGAAATGGAGATTTTCACATTTCTTTTTTTTTTTTTTTT